GGTCTGAATACTTTCCGTACCCACTGTATATATATATATATATATATATTTTTTTTTTCATTTTCTTTTCATACTATCCCTGTAAAAAAAAAAAATCAAAATGACTGAATGAATGGAAAATAAATAAATAGCATCCTTTTCATTTCATACTGTTGCTGTAAAAAAAACTAATAATAAAAATAATTTAAAAAAAAAGAAAAAAAAAGAATGGAAGTATGAACGAGCAAACAAACAAATAAATAAATAAATAGCATCCTTTTCATTTCATACTGTTGCTGTAAAAAATAAAAAGAATGAATGAATAAATAAATAAATAAATACAATTACATTATTTTCATACTGTCCTTGTTAAAAAAAAGTAAAAGTGCAAAAAAGAATGAATGAATATACAAATAAAAGAAAAATTAAATAAATTAAATAAATACTGCATCATTTTCATATTATCCCTGTAAAAAGTGTGTGTGTGTGTGTGTGTGTGTGTGTGTGTGTATGTGTGTGATAATGCAGTCTGCTACATTCATCTCTTTGGGATTGAAACTGTCATTTCCAGTTTGCATGAGGGAAATGTAACTCAGGACATGCTCTGAACGACACTGATGGCTTTCAGGCCGGTTTAGAGTGACGCAGTGCTTCCTACAGCTGAAAAATACTACAAATACAGCACAAATATTAACATTACACTGATTTAATCTAAAGCATCTAAACACTTCAGAGGAAGTGATGGTATGGTTTTATACTCAGATCAAACTCTTGCATCTCTTTATGATTTGACTCCTTTTATTATCCCTGTAAAAATATCTGTTATATATATATATATATATATACGTATAAGTACAATTTACTTGAGAAGCAAAATATTGTAAGATATTAAGACTTATTTTCAGAGATTATACCTTGAATTTAGTTTATTTTTTATGCCTTTTGGCAAATGCATAAATCTCACTACAGTTTATTAGATTTATGCTTAAAACAAGAAGAAGAAAAACTGTTTGTCAAAAGGGTAAATAAAACAAATTAAATTCAAGACATATTCTCTGAAATATATGATCAGAAAACAACAAATCTTACAAAACGTTCATTCTCAAATAAATGTATCCCTTTTTGTCATTATATTATATTAACACTTCGATTGAGATTTTCAGTTTTTATTGATTTGTTTGTCATTTGTATTATTTTTAAATGTTTTTTTATATATATACTTCTCTTTAATATATTTCTCTTTTATTTATTTTAGTTGTAGTTTGAAGTTGGGAATTTAGGACGTCAACTTATTTCAGTTTGTGAGCCAAAGCAGCATTTCTAGTTTTCATATTTTATATTATTTCAGCTTTATTCTGAAAGTTACAGTATGTTTTTTTATAGTTTTGCTATATCTCTGTTTATGATTTGATTAATGAATCTAAAGCAGACATACGGGATGCGGTTTATTTATTCGTCAGTTCTTGGCTCTGGTGGATGCAGTAATGATGGGAAATGTTGGCGGCCTGCTTTGATATGAAGCCAGTGTTCGTTTCCCTCTGATTTTATATTAATTAGAGGACTTATGACAGCTCTGAAGGTATTTTATGTAATAAAAATATCATTTTCATTCACACCTGCGAGGTGCTTCCACACAGGCTCTAAAATTAACACTCGCCGAGAGCCAAATGTGAATGAAAACTGGACCCAAACCACAACACTGTATGAGCTTTAGAGAGAAATGCATCAAGATATTGTGATGTAAAGGATCTGAGTGAACTACATCTGACACACAAACATCCACCCTGATGAACAAACAGCTTCCTTTTCATACTGTCCCTGCTGAAAACAACTCATGAATGAACACATTCTTTACTCTTCATACTGTCCCTGTTAAGGAATTAATAAATACACATTTTATTATTTTTTTCCATACTGTTCCTTTTTTAATACTGTTCTGCTTATTGTAAAAAAAAGAAAAAAAAACCTGCAAAACTGAAAAAATAAAGGAATAAATAAATAAATATTGCAGCCTTTTCTTTCCATACCGTAAATGAATGAATGAATGAAATAAATAAAATTAATATAAATAATTAATTAATTAAAATTGCATTCTTGACTTTTCATACTGTCAGTCAAATAAGTAAATAAAAAAATTAATAAATAAATAATATTCTTTTTTTCATATATTCTTTTCCAGTACTGTTTGTTTCACGTGTCATATTTCAGACCTGTAAAGACTGATAATCGCTCTGCTATGCAATAGAAACGATCATATTCGCTTGTTAAACGATCCTCCAGGTTGTGTTTGAGTGTAGAAATGTGCAGCGCTCAGTGAAAGCTGTTGAATCACATGCTCGCGCTGTAATTATTCCCTCGTTTGTGTTTATTTCTGCTGGGAGTTTGTTTGCTGGAGGATTTTATGAAATCTCAGAGATGAATGTATCCCACAATTCCTCATGGAGAGAAAAAACACACCTACAGCTTTCTGCTTGTACAGCGTTGTTTTAGTATTAATGAGATACTATTATATTTTGACTAATATTTAAATTTGAGTTTTTATTTTTATATTTTCTTCATTTTAAGTTTTTAATTATATATTATTTATTTTGTTGTGTTTTTGTCATTTTTATTCATGTTTTTTTAAATAAATTGTTTTCATTGTTTTTTATTTCAGTTTATTTAATTATTTTATTACATCAAGTTAAAGTAAAGTTAAGTAAGTTTGAGGGTTTTTAAAATATTTTAATTCAGTTAAGGTTTAATTTGTTTCACGTAACAATTTTTCATGGCTTATTTTAGTGTCATTGCGACATTATTATATGTTTATTCATATTTGAATTAATTTTAATTTTATATATTATATTTTATATTTGTCATTCTTTTTTTTCTTTTTTTAAATATATGTCTTTATGGTTTGTATTATTTTATTATATTTCATTTTATTTCAGTTAATTTGAGTAAAAACAATTATTTTAATGTTTTGAATGGTTTATTTTAGTATGAATGAGATACTATTAGTTTTATTCATATTCATTTTATATTTTAAGTTTTTGTAATTTTGTTGGGGTTTTGTCATTTTTATTTTTTCATGTTTGCATTGTTTTTTTATTTATTAATTTTTAATTTCAATTATTTTAGTACATCGAGTTAAACTAAATGAAAATGAAAGTTGACTTGGCAACAAGCTGAAATAAAATAAGTTTAAGTTTTTTATATTGTCATTTCAGTTAAAGTTTACTTCATTTCAATTAACATTTTTTATGATTTTGTCATTTATTTTAGTATTAATTCTTATTTTTATATTTTCTGTTTATATATATATATATATATATTTCATAGTTTCAAATTTATTTCTGTCATGTTTGTTTAATATCTATAATTTTTCTATTTCAGTTTTAGTTATATTACTACATCAACCTAAACTAAATAAAAATCAGAAATAAAATAATAGCTGAAATAAAATAAGGTTTAACATTTTTTGAATTTTATTTCAATTCAAATTTATTTTATTTCAAGTCTTTTTTTGTTTGTTTTAGTAACAGTAGTACATTTATGAGTTAATATTTACATTATATTTACATTACATTTAGTCATTTAGCAGATGCTTTTATCCAAAGCGACGTACAAATGAGGACAATAGAAGCAATCAAAATCAACAAAAGAGCAATATACAAGTGCTATAACAAGTCTCAGTTAGCTTTTTAAATTATATAATAAAAAGGAAACAGATAGAAAAGAAAAAGAATAGAGCAAGCTAGTGTTAGAGGCTTTTTTTCCTTTTGTTAATTGTATAATGAATAAAAAGAAAACAAATAGATAGAATACAAAAAGAATAGATAAGCTAGTGTTAGTGTTAGTAAATTAATAGAGTGCAAGTTTAAAAGGGTGCAAGTCTTTTTTTTTTAAGAATAGAATTCGAATAGAGAGTGCTAGAGTTAGATGGTCAAATAAAGATGGAATTATTTACTGAAAAATGACAGATTTAATATCCTAAATTTCACCGTGAGGAACTGACTGGCTGGTGAAAAGCAATTGGTTTGATCAGTGTTGACTGATGAAGGTGATTGAGATCTCATGTTGACTCAGTGTTTTTCTCTGTAGAGCACGATGAGTGTGCGTCCGGACAGCACAGCTGCGATGAGAACGCTCTGTGTTTCAACACCGTCGGCGGCCACAGCTGCTCCTGCAAACCCGGATACACCGGCAACGGAACCGACTGCAGAGGTGAGCCCCGCGCCCGTCTGCAGTCACCTGACCCGTCACATGGCCCATCACATGACCCGTCACATGAACTGTCGCATGGCCCGTCACCTGACCCGTCACCTGACCTGTCAAATGACCCATCACATGGCCCATCACATGACCCGTCGCATGGCCCGTCACCTGACCCGTCGCATGGCCCGTCACCTGACCCGTCGCATGGCCCTTCACATGACCCGTCGCATGGCCCGTCGCATGGCCCGTCACCTGACCTGTCACATGACCCATCATATGACTGTCACATGGCCCGTCACCTGACCCGTCGCATGGCCCGTCACCTGACCCGTCACATGGCCCGTCACCTGACCCGTCGCATGGCCCGTCACATGACCCGTCGCTTGACCCGTCACCTGACCTGTCGCTTGACCCTCTGTCCTCTCTCTGACCCGCAGCGCTGTGCGACGGCCGCTGTCTGAACGGCGGCTCCTGCGCGTCTCCCAACATCTGCATGTGTCCGCAGGGCTTCAGCGGGCAGAACTGCGAGACAGGTAAGATCCAGAACAAAGCCTGAGTATGTGAATATATATATATATATATATAATGCATGAATAAATACATAGTAATAGATAGTGAAATATATATATAATAGTAGAGAGTAATAAATTTTTAATTGTAAAATATACATTATTATATATTATTAATTGTAGGCCTATATATATATATATATATACAGTGGGGGAAAAAGTATTTAGTCAGCCACCAATTGTGCAAGTTCTCCCACTTAAAAAGATGAGAGAGGCCTGTAATTTTCATCATAGGTATACCTCAACTATGAGAGACAAAATGAGAA